AAATATAATTTCTGACTACACATATTAATCAGGAATGTTCAATTCGGATTTCATAAAAGAAAAAATAAAAAAAAAAATAAAAAAAAAAAAAAAAAAAAAATAAATAAAAATTCGGATTTCATATTTATATTAGTTTGAATTTTCCTATTTTTTTGGTAGTCAATGTTAATATGAATGCATATATGTATTGATCACCATCAAGCTCATAGACATAGAGATCAAGAACACAATACTTCTAGAAGACACATGCGTCATTTTGAAAACTTAATGACTCGTTGGCTGCGAGATTATCCCAGTTTTATATGTATCCAAGTTTGATGTCCTCGAGGGTTGCTTTGGAGGACATCAAGCTCAAGTTCATTGATACGTCTTCTAAATGCACAGACTAATTAATCTATACTAGATGTTTGCCCATGCGACGCGTGAGTTATTATATACATTTTTTCTTTATATAAAACAAATAAATGAAATATATTTTGTAAGCAAAACAACAATAATAACGCATACATAAAAATAACAGATGAATGAGATAGTTAACAGATCAATATATAGACTTAAGACTTTCACTTAATATTTTCGAGATTACAATTTGGTTCAATATATAATTTACTTGCCTTTTTCCAAAGCATTACTAAATTTCAACTACCAAATGATAAATGACTATTCTATACAATTCAACGTCTACCTCCACCATCAACACTCTTGGAATATTGTCCTTCACTTGAGACTTATGTTGTTTCGAAGCATACTCCATTTTCCTTATCTTTCTTCTCGTCTTTAGTCTTCTTGATTTTCTTCTTAATCTCTGTGCAAAAATATCAAATTTATTTGACTTAACCTAAATTTAGGTTAATATAGATTGAATATAATGAATGTTTTCGGCAAAGAAAACCTACAATAATGCATCTTCTCTACTCTCTTCTTTTGAAAAACATCTAAAGTAGCACAAATGATTGACCGTGCGTAGGATTTTTTTGTTTCATGTCACCTCTTCTTCACAATGTCTTACAAAAGTGACAAAAGTATATATATATTAAAACACCATTTGTTGAATTAGAAGATAAAATATTATACAATTTACCAATAATAGAAAACTTGGAATATGATGGTTTGTGAGATGTGTGTCTTAATATTTATAGGGAATTTTTTGTAATAAAAGCATATTTACGTTAGATAACTATGTAACTTCCACAATCATGTTTTGTTTTTGATAAAACTTTCACCATCATGTTTGAATGTCATTTATGAGTAAATTTAATTGTATTTATATCATAAATTTTTATGTTACATTCCAAAGAATTCATTGTGAAGAATTCATTTTGTATTAAATGTATTTGAAGAATTGTTTCAATTTACAAGTTAGATTTTAAGGACTAAACGTTACAAAATTGTGTAATCTTTTATATTCTTTTTAATTTTCAAATTAATACATTTTCAACATTTTCCATTATATTGTAATCATTACTACTAACATTAATTAATATGAAAGTTACATCAAAAATTGTAAACATAAATAAATATAAATCATTTATTTCATTAATAACATAAATATAATTATTAGTATGGAGGTTACAAAAATGTGAGGAAATGCAAAAAATATATATATTGTAAATTATTACTTAAAATTTCAAAATTATTACATGACAATGATGTGTATGCCAAACAGCCCAATAAACGTGAATTTATTCTTTTTTTACTGTTCAACTATGATAATAATTTTATTTAGTAGTTTTGAGCATTCAAGGTAAAATAAACACTATTAGTGATAAAAATGAAAATGTACAATGATATTCAAATATTTAGCCTAAGTTGCTGTTATAAACTAAATAATAACCTAAAGTATTTTAAAAAATTATTTTGTAAATAACAAATTAAATACATTTCCTATAAAATCATATGAAGTGCAAATAAAAGCTTTCAAAAAATCCCAAAGATTAGTTTCATTGTTTAATCTCTTTTTATATTCCCCTTTATTTAACTTATATCTATAGGTTTAATTCTAATGATTTCATCTTTTATAGTACAAGCTAATTCGATATGGAATATCAAATTTTTTTTTTATATATCGAAAAATCCTTACACTACAAAATTTGAATTAAATTAAATTTTAATGATATTTATATTATTATACTTTGAATCAATAAAACTAAAATATAATGATGAGTATACTAAAAAATTGTATTAGAAAACATTATTACAAAATTGAATTAATTAAAAAAATAGTCAATTCACAATTGTATTACAAAACATTATTTTGTTAAAACAATGCATACTTTTAAAAATAAAATAAATATACATGAATATGTAAAAAATAACCAAAGTTTCAAAGTAAAAAAAAATGAAGATAGTTTCTTTAGCTTGATTCCCTTATTGCGCGATGGTCGGAATTAGTATTGTTGGATCTGCATCAATAAAGTAATTTTATTATAGCCATCAAAATTATAATATACATATATAATTTTAAATAAAAAATATTAAAAAAAACAAAGAAAGAATGGAAGAAATACATAAAAACAAAGAAGAAATAAAATTGTAAAGAATGTAAGATATATATTACACAAAAAATATAATCAAACTCTTACAATGATATCTTAATTGAGTTTTCAACTCATGCAAGAACATAAACAAAACAAAGAGAATATTTAAGATTTGAGACATAGTGGAGGAGGATGTGAGAATAGTAATGTATAGGAAAATAAGTGATGGAAGTTACATTTCTAAACTAATTAGATTATAGGAGTTACAATTATAATGTGTTTAAATGACAATGAATAGAGAAAAAATAGTCAATTCACAATTATGTAATTTCAGTTACAATTGAGTAGTAAAATGTAGATTTAAATTATGAATTAATGTATATGATTAAATGTGTTATATTTTAAGTTTAATTAAAAATAAATATTATAATTTTAAAAATGCCAAGTGGACCAATCATAGGAGAGTGAAACCCTACTTTTATATGTATGATTGTATAACTTTTCATTTCGATTAATGATACTTATAGTCATATCAAAAAAAAATATCAATGTTTTAGGAGATATTGATACGTTCAATATGAATTACACATCGAATTATTTAACTAATCTAGATTGAACATATTGCTATTGATTTACTAAAACAAGTACTACATACACTTTTTTTTGTTTTCATCCGAAATTAATTAGAGCTCAAAAGAGCCATTCCTGAGGAATGTTGTTTACATATGTGATATGAGACGGTTCTGTACGAATTTTTCGTGCCAGATTATCCGCTTTTACATTAGCATTACGAGAAATTAAAGATAAAGAGAAGAATGAGAATTTTTCCTTGTCGCTCTGGAATTCCTCCAAGTACACAGAAAACGCCGGCCATTCGGTTGGAGAAGACACCATCTTCACCAGATCAGAACAGTCTGTAAGGAACGCTACTTCTTGATTATCTGCACCAATCATACACTTCATCGCCCAAAGAAGGGCCTCGAATTCTGTATGTAATGGAGATAGACTTCTACGGAGGTTGGCAGCTCCCATGGTTGGCGGCTCTCCGTTTGATGATGTACAGAACCATCCTGTACCGGAGAACTTATCACTTTCTTTCCACGATCCATCCACAAAGCAACAACAACCAGAATAATTCGAATCGAGTGAAGCATCCCCCACTCGAGATCGAGTTACCAATTCCACAGTGCCATTAGTTTCATGATGAAGCTCGATTTGGGCTGACTGCCACAATTGTGCTTCTTTTTCCGCTAACTGTAATACCTCAAACGGATCTTTATCAATATTTTCAAAGACTTTTTCATTCCTTGCTTTCCAAATATACCAGATAATCCATGGAAAGGCTGAAGAATCAAATTCCGAAGGTATTCTCCAAAATAAGTGGTCTAAATTCGCAAAAATAGACTCCGTTGGAAAAATTCTCAATGCCGTAGGAATCTGGGAAAGTGCCCAAACCTGTCGTGCTGGGTGGCACTGAAAGAGTGTATGATTGATTGTTTCCATTGGTTCGCCACACCTGGCACAACCTGTGTCACAATCAATTCCTCTTCTCCGCAAATTTTCTGTAACTGGTACACAACCCATTAAGATTTGCCACAAAAAATGTCGTATCTTAGGTGGACATTGCACTTGCCAAGAGTGTGCTTTTAATGGTTTGATGTCTGGGCCAATCAAAGAAAAATTGGTCTCCAATTTTTCTAACCTTGTGGTATGATACCCCGATTTGACTGTATATTTTCCGGATTTTGTAAAATGCCAACCCAGTGTATCTCCCTTAGTTGGCGCACCCACAGGTAAGGCACTTATTAGGGCGACATCTTTTGGATCAAAGTTCTCCTCTAAGAGAGCAATATTCCAAAAATTCGACCGACTATCTATAAGATTATTAACTTTTAACAATGGGTCCACAAGTGAACCATTACTTTTTGCTGGTCTCGGGAATTGAGCTGGAATCCAGGGATCCTCCCAAACTGAGATGGATGTCCCGGATCCGACCCTTTTAATAAGTCCTTTATTAACCAGAGATCTAGCTGAACAAATACTACGCCATCCATATGATGGGGAGTATGATTTTATATTTTCCAAAGGATTGGATTTCCGAAAATATCACCCTTTAAACAGCTTCGCGAAAAGAGAATCTGGAACCGTAATCAACCGCCATAATTGTTTGGCTAATAGGGCTGAATTAAAATCGTCTACATTCCGAAAGCCTAACCAGCCTTCCGATTTGCTATTGCACAACTTGTTCCAAGCCATCCTGTGCATACCTCTGGAATCCTTATTTGAACTATATACACTGATACACATGCTTCATTAAAATTTCCATGTTATATAATATCATTAGCATGCAATAATTTGAGACAATAGTAAAAAAAAAAACCATCAATCAAATGAGACTTAGTTGCGAGATTTAATTACTACAGCTTCTAAATAAGTAAACTAAGGATTCCACACTCTGCTAAATATGGTTTCATGTAGATATTGATACATGGATCTATTGCTCGCTCTGCTAATAAGTATTATTGCTTTAAAGAGTTTCTATTCAGTTCCTAGAAGTACGTTTTACCTTGGTCAACAAGAAAATAGAAACTCTGTAAAATAATACTTAGAAAATAAAACTAATACGAGGAACTGAATTTTGAAAATCTAAGCTTTGAGTCTGCCATAGAACTTGGCCTTCTCCTGACTATTCTGGAAATGACAATATGTCCATTTTGAAGACGTATCAATGAACTTGAGCTTGATGTCCTCCAAAGCAACCCTCGAGGTTTGGTTCACCAATGAATGTCTCAGAGACAGCACCCGCGTCTTAGGCCTCATGACACATCCCTTGACCATCAAATAGTCTTCCTTCACTACACCATAATGCGGGAGTCCTCCCATCGGAATGATCTCCCTCTCGTTTCTATCGTTCTCAGTCATTGCTGAGTGACTCTCTTGGCCTAATTTCCCAATCCTGTAAACTCTCTTATTTATCTCAGTTCGGTGGTGATATCCGTTCCGCCCGGAACTAGCCACTGTGTATGAGACTCTAGCTGGATGCCAAGCACCGATACAAGCCACCTTCCGTAACCCGCGATGAGTCTTTCTTGGAAGACACGTCACACCCCACCTTTTAACCACACCTTCATAACCTTTTCCTTTGGTAACATCAATTAAATCAATCATCTCATCTTTCGAAAAGACGGCATCTACAGGGACTTCCTTCTCAAAGAAACTGTATGCATAGTCAACCTTCTTAGCTACATCTCCACCATTGATTTGAATCTCATGTAGATGAGCCTTCTTCTGCTTTAACCCTTTCATTTTCCTTATCTAATGAATATATAACAAAAAAAGAATTAGGCAAATGAAGATAAAATAAGTTAGTGTCTACATTTAAAGATTTACCTGAGTGTGAGCAATAACTCTGATTACAGTGCTATACTTCTTCATCTTCTCTAATTCACTTTGAATATCCTCTTTACCTTCTTCAGTTTCATGTTTCTCTGAGTATTTTGTGAAAGCTTTCTTCTTTGACATGGCCCAGTTCTTGTAGAATCTCCTCCTTACTTCTTCACTCAAATGCTGAGCCCACACAGTGCTTAGAGTACACAAGCCACGAGGTGTCTTCACATACCCAACCACACCAACAACTACCATTGGAGGTGTCTCAATCACAGTGACAACTTCATTTGTTTCTCTCTTGTGTAGCTCTAGCAGTTCAATTTACAAAGATTAGCACAAAGTTTAAACACTTGCACTCATTTTGAATCAATAAGAGAAGAGAGTGAGAGAACACACTTGATCCAGGGTTTTCAACTTCTCTCACAATTTGAGTCATCCCAGCTTTATATCCCAAGAAGGAAGTGAATCTGCAAGGCTTAGTAGGATCATCCTCAGGGAAGGCCTTCACTGGAAACATAAACTAGGCATGTCAGATCAAGCCATATGAAATGAAGATGCTTAGGAAACATGTATCATGTATGACACAACATTATGCTACAAGCTACCTTTGCCACATTGTCTGTTAGCTCGTTTCCTTGGAAGGAAACCCAATGAACCATGTCTTGGATGCTCAAATTTCCTGTGAGACATTCTCTAAATTACGAAACAAATTAACCCTGCAAAATTAAAGGGAGAAGTGATGTACAAATATTGTTTATTTTGAAAGTGATCAGTAAGTTCAGAGCTCCTAAGATGCAAATAATTGTGCTAAGTATTACCAAATTTCAGATTTGCAACAATTCATTAGAACCTAGAGACTTGACAGACAAGAAACTTTCAAGAATTTTGATGTTTCATGATACGAGTGTTCCCTCGATCAAAGGCCTATGACATCATTACAATACCAAATCTCAAGCTCTTTAGAGTGTTTCTAACCAGAAACTAAGTAAAAAGGTTTCCAGTAACAGAGCTGCTTAGAGACTCCAGCCTTGATTTTTTACTTAGTTTCCGAGGCTTATCACTTCCAATCACAACCCAAAATCCCAGAAAAATGTCACATGGATTATTTAGTACAGAACAGAGAACAAGAACATTAAGATTCAATAAGAAAATGTAATGGCTAAAAGACAAACCAAAGAAGCTTCAGATCCAGAAAAACATAAACACTTTATGTACCTTGACCTTGACGTTAGAGAAGAGAGAAATGTCAAGGAGATCTAATATGTATATTGTATTGACGGCTACCTAGAGGCTAGGGATTACGGTAGCGCTGAGATTAGGGTTTTGATTTGGAAAAAAAGTCAAAAAAATCGTAACTTAAAAATGATAAAACCCCAACTTTGCTTCCTGTAAAAAAATTCACTAATTTTAAATGATTTTTATTTTAATCATTAAATTTTGTTGATTTCTCAGATTTAATTCTTACCTTTTGTTGAGTTTGTCAAATAAGTCACGTTAAAAAAACATACTATTAAGAATAATAATTATGGAAGATGGGTCCTTCATGTCATGATAAAGAAACAACAAAGAGAACCATGGTATTTTATAACCAAACAAAAATACCATATTTTTACGGGGTTGACGTATTTTTCTGACCTACACTAGTTTCAATTTCAGTTTTCCGCCCTATACTTTTTGTTTCTGAAAAACCACCAAAGTTAACTTTCTTCTTAACGAAACTACATGTACCTTTGGATTTATTATTCTTAAAACTACTATCAGAGCATACTTTTACACGTAACTTAGCAATAATGATGAATAATATATGTTCCTTTTATGTATCTGAATTGAGTACGGATCTTTAACCAAAAAAATTGATTTCGGATATGTTATATATATCGTGTGTATGCTTTCATTACCTAGGCTAAATAAAATTTATGACTACACATACTAATCACTAATCAGAAATGTTCAATTCAAATTTCATATTTAATTTATTTAAGTTTGAATTCCTTTGGTTGTCAGTGTTAATACGACTGAATATGTATCGATCACCATCAAGCTCATATATTGACAGAGTCCAGAGTCGCGAACCTAAAAATATTTTTTACGGGGTCAAAATATAACTAATAATTTTAAAAACAAAAAGCTAAAAACGATTTTTAAAAGAAAATAAAAGAACCACAAATTAGGTTCAATATATATGGGAAGCAAACAAAAAGGCTAAGAATATGTGACGAATTGGCTCAAAAGTCAAAACATAAAGAAATAAAAAAATTCTAAAATTTAAAGGGTTTAAATACAAATTTATAATTTTAAGAGGGTCAAAACATAAGAATTATAAACAATAGTATGAATCTTAAGGGGCTATAACACAATTCAGATTTTTAAGAGGGTCAAAACAGAAGAATTATAAACAATATTATAAATCTTAAAGGACTATAACAAAATATCAGAATTTTAGGGGGTCAGCTGTAACACCCCGATTTCAGGAATATGGTGGTGCATGCGGAGAGGTTTAAAAGAATTGATTTGGCCACCTATGTCACCAAAGTGCACTTATCTTTTCGGTCAACTGTCCTGAGAGAACTCCACAGTTAAGCGTGTTTGGGCTGGAGTAGTCAGGATGGGTGACCTTCCGAGAAGTGATTGTCGGAACTGTGTGAGTGAGGACAAAACACAGAGAAAGATCATGTGGTGATTTGTAGGGTCGGTAAACAAGTCTTTAAAGCCTCTCGGACGTAGCGGACCGACTGTCGGACAGGGGTGGGCCCATGGGCCCGAGAGAGGACGTGGAGCCCACTGGTAGGGACGGTCAGAGCGTTACAAGTGGTATCAGAGCCAAACCCAGACGAGTGTGGAGTCGAGAGGGCTCACACCGTCGGGGGTTACGGTCTTGGTGCACAACGAGGACGTTGCGATCAGTTAGTGGGGGTGAATTGTAACACCCCAGTTTCAGAAATATGGTGGTGCATGCAGAGAGGTTTAAAAGAATTGATTTTGCCATCTATATCACCAAAGTGCACTTATCTTTTCGGTCAACTGTTCTGAGAGAACTCCACAGTTAAGCGTGCTTGGGCTGGAGTAGTTTCAGGATGGGTAACCTTCCCAGAAGTGATTGTCGGAACTGTGTGAGTGAAGATAAAACACAGAGAAAGATCCAAAAGAAGACGTGGGGCCCACTGGTAGGGACGGTCGGAGCGTTACATCAGTTAACCCTCTTTAAATCTTAATGGGTCCGCCCTTGGACAGAGAGATCAAGAACATAATAACTTCTAGAAGACACAAGTATCATTTTGGAAACTTAATCGTTGGCTGCGATAAACTCCCGACATTATCCCAGTTTAATATGTATTATTGTTTTTGTTTTTGTTTTTTTTTCTAGATAAGGCTACAATTACAAAGGCATAGGTTAAGAGATATTGATTAAATTTCCATACGTTCAATATGAATTTCAGATCGAATTATCTAACTAATCTAGATTGAACATATATTTCTATTGATTTACTAACGCAAGTAACATTCTGATAAGCATGCTTATAATTAAACCTTCCATGTTATATAATATAATCATCATGCAATTTGAGCCATAAAAAAAAAGCCATCAATAAATGAGACTTAATTGCGTGACTAATTACTACAACTTTTAAATAAGTAAAGAGCAATACTTGGGTTCACCCCCTTTTATTTTAACCAATCAAAATTCACCACATAATAAAAAATTAAACTCATTTAATTATTAAATCTAATCCCTAACCACTCTTATATAAACCCAAACCGATATATAATCTCGTTTAATTACAAAATCTAAACCCTAATTTTCCTTTGTAAACCTAAACCACCATTTAAACTCGTTTAATCGTAAAAAATCTAAACCCTAGTCATACTTTCTAAACCCAAACCGCCAATTAAACTCGTTTAATCGTAAAAAATCTAAACGCTAATCGTACTTTCTAAACCCAAACCAATATTTAGCCTCGTTTAATTGTAAAATCTAAACCCGTTTATAAACCCAAACCGATATCTAACATTGTTTAATCATAAAATCTAAACCCTAACCCTTTCTAATAAACCCAAACCGATACATAATTTCGTTTTAGTAGCAAATTAGATTTTATAATTAAATAAAAAAATTATTATTATTAAGTGTCATATTCTGATTGGCTAAAATAAAGGGGGTGAATATAAGAGGTTCACCTTTAGGGATGAACCCAAGTATTTTTCATAAGTAAAGGATTCCAAATTTCCACACTCTGCTAAATATGGTTTCATGCATATTTTGATTCATCGATCTATTGCTCGCCGTGACGTGAGAACTTGTGCTGATACCTTTTTCATTATACAAGCCTAAAAGTACGTTTGCCATAAACCTTTTAACCAAAATGGTTAACAAGAAATTAGTAACTCTGAAAAGCAATAATACTTGGAAAAGAAAACATTGTTCTAATAGAAAGAACTGAATTATGAAAATCTAAGCTTTGACTCTGTCATAGAACTTGGCCTTCTCCTGAGTAGTTTGGAATCGACCGTTTGTGAATTTGGAAGACGTACGTATCATAAAATTTGATAAACTTAGTAGGATCATCCTTAGGGAAGGGCCTTCACTGGAAACACAAACTAGGCATGTCAGATCAGACTACACAAGCCATGTGAAATTAATATGCTTAGGAAACGTGTATGATACAACATTATGCTAGAAAATCAAACACTTTCCATGAGAATTTTGCAAGTTTATCCGACCAATACGGCAATACAGAAGATGCAACAAAGTATGGTCTTAAGATCTAACAACAAGCTGCTACTTTTGTCACCTTGTCTGTTAGCTCGTTTCCTTGGAAGGAAACCCAATGAATCATGTCTTGGATGCTCAACTTTTCTATGAGACATTCTCTATATTACGAAACAAACCCTGCAAAATAAGACGATTTCATACAAAGAAGAGAAGTGATGTACAAATATTGTTTGTTTTGAGAATGATCAATAAGTTCAGCGCTCTTAAGAGGTAGATAACAACAACCAAGAAGTTGAATTAAGTTGATTAAACAGGCCACGTTAACAACAAGTATTACCAAATTTCAGATTCTCATAAATAGACAAAACCCAACACAACAAAGATAAGCAAACGAAAATTTGCAGAGAAACTATGAGACTTGACACACAAGTTACTTTCAGGAATTATGATATATATCAGATATATGATAAGAAGTGTTCTCTCGATCAAAGGCATATATGGCAACGTTACAATACCATTTCCAAGCTCTTTAGAGTGTTTCTTACCAGAAACCAAGTAAAAAAAGGTTTCTAGTAACAAAGCTGCTTAGAGACTCCAGCCTTGATTTTTATCCAAGGGTTATCACTTTGAATCACATCCAAAAATCCAAAAAAAAATACATATGTGCAGTACATGAATTTAGTACAAAACAGAGAATAAGAACAAAATTGAGATTTTCAGTGGGAAGATATGAAATTGATAATAACACGAACATGGCTGAGAGAAAAACCAAAGAAAGCTTCAGATCCAGAAAAAAAAAACAAAAACAGTTTGTGTACCTTGACCATAGATATTAGATTTGGAGAGATTGAGAGGATTATTTTAAGGATATTTGGGTGATTCATAAGATTTTTACTAACAAATAGAAAATTTCTAGTGATTTTGCGAGATTTTATTGTTAAATTTTGGAAGATTTTGAAGTAGTATGTGTTATAGAATTGTTTTTTGTGACTTTGACATCCACAACAATAAAAAATATCATTTGAATCACCATAAAATTTTCTTAAACCCTCGTTATCTTAGAGGAAATTTCTTAAACCCTCGTTATCGTTGGATAGAATAGGATGTTGTTAGACAATTGAATCTCAAAGAATTAAAATAGTGAGAAGAAGAGAAAAACACATATTTGAAGTTGATTTTTTGTTCGTTAGATATTCTGATTACTCATCTTGGACGTAGAAACGGCGTAAAGTTAAGAAGAACAAGATAGGGGTTGACGGATGAACAAAAAGTTTTGTGAATTTTGACATTTCTCCAAATTACTCCTCTATCACACCCCTAGAGGTGTGATTTTCTTCATTTTTATTTTCAACAAAAAATTTATATAAAATCCTTTTCAAAAGTTTTTGATAAAAATTATTAAGTTTTAAATAACAGTAGATTTGGTATGAATTTTACGCTTATTTATTGAATAATAAAATATTTTTACATAAATTCCATTATCAATAACATAGAATTTGGAAATTTTTTTAAAAACCACTCGTTGAATATATAACATGTCATTTAAAAAAAAAAAAAATTTCAGAAATCTCTTATCTACTACACCCCATTAAAATCCGTTGATGACAGTCTTAATTTAAAATACAATTAAAATTGATATAAAAATAATTAAACATATTAGGAACTTGATACTCATTGTTCTTATAGATGTCATGTCACACAGTTGGTTAAGAATATTATAATGTTAGAAAAAAAACAAAAAAAAAAGTTCAGTGAATGAAACTCCTATTTCTTTTTCCTAGAAATGAATTGAAATATTTAACTATGTAAGATTTTATCTAAAGTTTATTTGTTAATATCTACATGACTATTTTAATTCAGAAAATCGATGTTTTTAAATTACATTACATGTATTGTTTGATATTTAGAGGTGGAGAAAAACTTTTTCTACTTGAAGAAGTTCTTAATGAACAAAAGCTATTTCCACTTCTATAAGTTTTTCGAGCTTTATTTACAATGTCTCACCAATTATATGTTTTTTTTTATTAAAAATTCTACTTTTATCCACCTGCCAACAGAGCCGCCACAAGGCCAAGCAAGCAAAGCATATGCTTGCGGCCACTAAATAATATCATTAAATTTTGGCCCATTTTATGGAAAAGCTCTTGTGGTCTAGTGGTTATACCTCGGTGGGGCTGTCAATAGATTACGAGTTCAAATCCTGAGTGTGTAGTTTAAACATTTGTTTTATAACAAAATTATTAAATAAATTAAAATTGTGTGGCCTTTTTTTTTCCTCGCTGGTGTAACCTCGTGAAACTCCGGGACGGCTCTGCCTATCAACACAAACATAAAATAATATTTCAAGTTAATTGTGTTATTCATTTTATTTTATAAGAAAATGCTCAAAGAAAGTAGTGAAATCTAGCATAGTAAAAATTTAATCGTAATACTTTTGATATATAATTTGATGAATACGTTCACGTTTTAAACAATTAAAGTTTGCTTTTATTTGGTCATTCGTTGATAAACTTCAAATTTTTCATGTAAAAGAAAACAGATTTTTTATTAAATCTTATATTAGTTATTTGTTAAAATATTGATTTAACTGAAAAATGTGCCAAAGTAATGGTGAAGTAATTAGTATAAATATGAGTTTAATAATCTGAGAACATTGATATTCTTGTAAATAAATTCATATTTTACAAAACAATCAATAATTATTAAAAAGGAGAAGAGAGAATCATGATCGAGATGAAAAATAAAAAATCTAAGAGGAGTGAGAAGCTAGTAAAATTCTTTTAAATTTAATAAAAATATGAGATGAAAATGCATTATTAGAGGTTTTAAGTAAACTAGTTTTTTTTTATTTCAAAACGGTGGCTTTTGTTAATAGTTGTCATTTATTTTAAAACAACATAAATTAATAAGTGAATTAGAATTTACAAATAAAAAACTTCGGAAAACACAAGTAAATACAAGCTAACTTAGTTATGTTAAAACTTCTACTTGAATTTAAGTGTAAACTATGCATTGAACATAAATTTATTCAACCACTACATCCATAAATCAACAACTCTCCATCACTAGGAACATAAATTAATTATGAAATATGTAAATTTAGCATAAAATCAAATGCATTTATTTTTCCAAACCTAATAGGAATTCACTACAAGAGAACATGGTAAAATCCTACCAAATTTCTGTGTATTTATTACGAAATACTTATGTCGTAGGAAATTGGAAGGAATTTTCCTACTAAAAAAATCGTGAAAAATCGTAAGAATTTTTTTACAAAATTCCTACGAACAATATGGCCGTAGAAAATCTCTTAGGAAATTAGAAGGATAGTCATGAAAAAACATGTACTAGAAATAATAAATCAGAGAACTCTTTGAGCCAAGACCTTACCGCCACTGTCGAAAAAACCATGAACAAGTATGTTGATAACATGATGCGCTTTCTCAATGGCATTAGCTCACGCTTGTCTCAGCTAGAACTTTAATGCTACAACCTTGATTAAAAAAATTGGAGAAATGAGATCGGAGTTAATTCATGAACACGAGGAGGCTGATGTGATGCTAAGATCTTTGGACAATCATCTTCAAGAGGTTTGCTGTGCAATGTTTTTAATCTTTTTTTTTTGTTAAGTTTAGTTTGTAAAATCTCTGATCAGATATTGATGTTTAAGACTGTGTTATGTTCTGTTGTAGGTGCATAGATCGGTCAAGATTATTAAAGACAAACAAGAGCTAGCAGATACTCAGAAAGATCTAGCGAAACTTCAACTTGTGCAAAAAGAATCATTTTCGTCGTCTCACTCTCAACATGGTGGGGATTGTGTCGTCACTCTTGTCACTGTCAAGGCGAATCAGATTAGAGTGAGATTGTGAGAACGTTATTATAATACTGAGAAAAGCGGAAAGCTTCGTATGATCCAACATTGTTAAAGGGTTTTTTTTCTTCTTCTCTCCTTGTGAATTTGGATCGAAAAGAAATGTCAACTGGAGAAAGGGAGATGCGGTGGTCCTTTTAAACAAACAAAAACAACTTAAATTTTTATTTGAGATTGTTTGTAATTATTACTATTTTGTGTTTTTCTTAGACTATTTACATTGGTTTTATGTTTACAACATCTACTTTTTTTTTTTAATATTCCACATCATCTTCTCTTTCTTCCACATCATTACTCAACACCTATATAATTTTTATTCTCTACATTAGTTTTGTTTAATAAAATTACAACACCTTACCCTACAATTTTTATTTTATATTTTTCATTTTATTTATGTTTAAGTTTTTTGTGCTTACATATTTTTACTCTCTACAATAGTTTTGTTTATGAAGATTGATAGCAAAACTATAGTAAAAAATATGGTTTTTTTTTTATGTGTCCAAATGAAGTGAAACAAGTCTCTGTTTATAGAGTATGAAAAATGATGAATTTTGGTATTAGAAAAAGAAAATAAATTTTAATATTTTATGAAATAATTGATCTCAAATAATTGATCTCAAATAATTGGGTTGGATAAAAAATATCTAAAATCCCAGTATCCAATAAAAACAGAACACATGTCATTATCCAAATATAATCATATAATTAAAAAATTTATCCATTCATTGACTGCCACGTGGCACTGTGAGACCCATACTTTTTGTTTCAACGGCGTTGAAGAGATTCAACTATGTTATCTCCACGTCATTTTTTTTCTTTTTATGCAACATACCATTGTAGTGATTCAATAGTTGAATAATTATTTCAACTGTTTAAAAAATGACCATTGTAAGTAGCCTTATAATATTTGTATTTGTAGTTTTTATAGTATATAAAATAATAGATAACTTTCATTAATTTACATTATTTTCTGATATTTACTTGACATAGATACGTAAATATGTTCATCAATTAATGCTCTCACCCTTTAGTATTAGTTTGACTTTATAATTTAAGTTCATCCCATATTTTTTGTAAGAAGACCAATACTTCTTTGTCAATAAAAGGTTTTTAAGGAAATGAACAATTGTTCTCTATATTCCATATATTTGTTTTTTTTTTGTTTTGACTGGACGCGGATAAGTTTATCACACTAGTACAAATGAGTTTTCCACACGCAAAAAATGTGTTGATCCATGGGACCAACCAAATTCAAGAATGACAGGATATTTATGTTGTAAGTTGTAAATGCACTGCATTTGCAATAACACATAACCTATAGAGTGACAGGTCATAATGTGTCACTTGGAGAGGAAAACTTCTCGATCTCTAATGTAACTCTAGTGGAAGTCAAAATCTCTATATCAAACTCGATGGTTAATTCTGATGAATCCTTTTAGACTAATAAAACAATTTTCATAAAATTATCTTCATTTAAAAATTATCATTTTACGAATCTTTCAGGGAAGAAGAAAAAGAACAAAGGAAAAATCATAGGTTTAGGGTTTAGCATCCCTACTGTGATTATCTTATTCTTTGTAGCTAGTTTTGGTTTCTAGAAAAGAAAACAAAATTTAGCAACATCAAGAGCCATTGTTGGTAATATACAAGCGGATTAGGCGGAGCGGATCAAGCGGAACAAATGCAGATCAAGCGGATATGGCGGTACAAAATATGTGTTTGAATGGTGAAAAATGATCATGTGGTGCATATCAAATATTTACGCAAGAAAAAGTAGAGTTACTTTCTCTAAACTATCCAACAATTCCTATCTAAAATATTATAGTATATTATTTTAAAAATTTAAATCATAACAAGTAAATTTTTTTTCAAATTTAAATATGCAATTTATTTTACTAAAAAATATTTAGTTAATAATAATATTATAAAAACATTGTTTAGTGGTTTATAGAGAAAACTAACATATAATAAAAATAAGAATATGATTAATTATTGCATATTATATTATTTTTATGTAATTCCAAGTTAGAAGAAGTTTTTTAATAACATGTATTTATGTAGGCTTTGAGCTCAGGTGGTGATATATATCTAGGCATAGATTGTAATTTTTTTTGTCATAATAGTAAGATGAATTGTATCGAGACTTTGAATATGGGTAGTTATATAGTAAAGACATAATAATGTAAATAAATATAGTATTATATTATTGTGTGTTTTTTGTTAACATAATATATTATACAAGTTCTAATTAAAAATAAATAAATCATATACAAACATTTGGACCACTCTTATACAACCACATATATGGGGTGTGCCTATTGTTACATGTAGTTCGTCACTTTTGTTAACAAAATTGAACTACACATTGTTCTCTTGCCTTTTATTAGATTTAAATAAAGAATGTAATATGTAATCTATTTTAATTAGAACGATGAATGGAGATTGATTTTTGGTCCGCCCCGTGTAGCATGACATCTGCTTAAGAACCATTTTTCCATTTAGACTTTTTTTGTTAAAGATATTTCATATACCTGTGTTATAAGGCTTTCCAGAACAAAATGTTCAATATGTTAGTAAGAAAAATCGTTTTTGAAATGGATATGAGCTATTCAAAACAAATATATATATATATATATATATATATATATTATCATGGTTTATTAAGTTTCATGTGGAGTTTGTTTAATATAGGTCAACTAACTAATATATAAATAGAACCTTACCGATCAACTATCATAATACTTGTTTTTTTGTAAATTTAACTAACTAATCAACTAGCTATGATAATACGGCGGCCATAATACTTTAAATTTGTTTTTTCTATGCCTGAAAAACATAATTAACCTAAAGCTTATTTGTTTTTAGATTAAGAAAATTTCATAGATATATAAAGATTGATACACCAAGCTATAATGATTAAAATTTAAATTTCTTTTTCTATGACTACAAGCTATTTTTCTATTTTCTAATCTAACAATTCCACCAACTATCTTAAACATCCACTAGTCTCTCAAAAACTAAAATTTTCTACATTTCATTTTTTTTTCTTCTAAAATCCTTATTCCAATAAACCTTCCATAGAGTAGAAAGAAATGTAGGTCAAGGAAATACTATATTTATACTATATTGACGGCTACCTAGGGATCAAGGTAGATTTACTGAGATTAGGTTTTTAATTTTCTTTAAATATGGGTCTTGGCCCTTATAAAACAAATTTGTTAACTGGCCACATTTTGATTTTGTTGTGAGCAATGCAATATTTGGGTGTTTAAACAGTTAGGTTTAAGAGTGATGACTCAAAAGGCTGATCAAGGCTTTGGAGAATCCTCAATATTGGCCGAGAGTACATTCTTTAACCTAAACTAACCAAAAAAAAGAAAAAAATAACCGGTTTTTTTTTTGAATAAAAAAACTAAGGATTTTATTTGATTGAAACTCAAATTTGAACCGAAGACATAATCGTACTAGACCATCCATAATAAATAAGTCTTAGTTTGGATACCATTATTTGTAAACCAATACCTAAATCGAAATCCGAACTGAATACCCTCTCTAAAGAAAACTAAATCAGAGCTCTAGAAACAGAGAAACCAAAACTCAGCAGATCTTGAAACGACACATCAAAAGAAAAAGAGAAGAAAAATGAAACTGTGAATGACATGCCTGTTCCAGGCGAGAATGAAGCCTCGAAGGTCCACATATGGATAAATTTGATATCATTCTACCAACTAGAGTACAACTTTTCCCAATATCTCTATATTTTGGTGAGTATATGTATATAGGTACCATTGATGACCAAAAAAAAAAAACTAAATCTAAAAGATTTAACGACCAAAACATTTTCTCCTATGTTGCATGGAAACATTCTGAAACAAACAGCAAGATTACTCCGAAACGGAATATTTGGTATTTGTGCACACCAATCTTCGTCTTCTATCTAGAAGAAGTCTTGCTTACAAAGATGGGCACAATTATATGTGTGATGTTTGAAGTGATCAGTTTGATTCATTAGATAATATAAATTTTGGGATAGTTGATAACCATTCTCTTACAAACGAAAGTTGGATGCAGTTTTGTTTGATAGAGTTGAAAAAAATAAAAATTAGAATGATGGTCTTAGTCATTGATTTTGAGTGTTATTATTTTTATTTTAGTTAGACTGTTTTGTATTTATATCTAAGATTTATATTATTTTAAACATTTTTTAATATTATTTTGATGTTTGGTGTTTCATATTTTATATATATTATATACATGTTTAACATTTCCATTATTTTTATTAAAAAAAAAATCCGTTTCAAGCGTTTCGCTTCCATGTTTCTGTTTCCATGCAATCTAAATTTTCTCAAACAAGTTTCAAAAGAAGTGAATACTTCACGAGTTAAAGAAAGTGCCAAGGTGTTAAAATCAAAACAACATGCAACGTCGGTTTCTTTCATTTACATACAAATAAAAAGCTATAGCAACCGATGTGAGATATAAAATTTCTTTGATGGGAGGAATTGTGGGCTACTAATTAAATTTGTTACTCTCCAAAATTCTAAATATAGAAGAAATTCATGGTACATATGATTAGTACTGTCTTGTGTGGAAAGTTTAAGCATTAAAAATAAATGCACGTTATTGACAAATAAAAATGGTATGCCTATCATTTACGGATTCTATATACAGTCTCTAATATAGAAATTCATTAGTAGTATGTTTGTATTCGGGAAAATTCCCAAAAAAAACCTCATGTATTTTTTATTTGGACGTTTAATACCCAATTGTTTTCGGTTGGAAGAAAAATATACATACTAATAAAACTGTGCGATTTAATACTCAAACAATTAAATGTTGTTATTTTCATACTCACGAACTCACAACAAAAAAAATATTCCAATTTTACCCTTACCTTCTCAATTAATTATTAAACTTTTAAATAACGTGGTATTATTTTTTATTTAAATAAAAATTAATTTTGTTAATATTTTATTTTATGTTGCTTAAAAAATAAATTTTAAATTTATATAATTATTTTATTTTAAAATTAAACATAAAAATTAGCAGAAAATGAAAAATATTAAAAATAGTCATTTGTACAATCTTATTCCGTCTTTGCAATGTCAAAGAGACGTTTTCTCTTCGATTCTAATTTTTTCGATTAATATCTACGAGAATTACCGGTAAACAATCTCCGTCGTCCTCTTTTGCAACCATCAAATTCGATAACCGTTCAGAATCTCCTTTTAATCCTATCCAAAATCTTCATCGCCAATAAAACTAATTTGATTTGATTCGTCGTGATGCATATGATATCAACGAGCATCAATATCTTTTTCTTCGTCGTGAGAAACTCTCTATTGTCACGTAATCTAAAAGTTAATAATTAATTGAGATAGTAAGGGTAAAATTGGAATTTGATTTTTGTTGTGAGATCGTGAGTATGAAAATAACAATATTTAATTGTTTGGATATTAAATCGCACAGTTTTATTAATATGTGTATTTTTCTTCCAACTGAAAACAATTAGGTATTAAACGTCCAAATAAAAAATAATTGAGGTTTTTTTTGGGAATTTTCCCGTTTGTATTCTAGTATGTACATCTTTTTTTTTACTGGTAAAATCAATGTCTAAAGAATCTCGTCATATAAGATTTTGATTGTGTTTATTTACTGCCAGATCTTTATGGACTCGTCGTAGCTACCAGACGCAATAATTCCCCTTGAAGGCGAGTCCGCGAGAGCTGAGATGAGACCTTCATGAGCCGGAGAATGAAAGATTTTGTTATTAACCCAGTGCCATAGCTCCAAAGACTGTCATTAGATTTGTTAACAAAGTTAGACGCCTTGTGATAAAAACTACATTTTGAGCTTTGAGAGATTCTAGTCCATGGTCAGAAATAAAGAGTTCACAGATGATTCTATCAGATAAATAATGCGATAAGTCCTGTAAACTGAGAGAAGTAATTTACCCTGTAGCAACCGATGATCAAGATTTGGGGAATGCTCGGGTGAAAAACACAAGAGTGGAACTTTTTTTCACCATCGTAATTTAACTCGCGGAATTTGTTTTCTGCTAATGTCCACACGCTTACAGAGTCTTCGGTAATACATGCTAAATACTTCCCAGTTTTGTCCCAGGAAACATATAGTACATTGGTGTCATATCCCTATCAAAATCAACGAGACACGTGACATCAAACAATAAAACACATCAGGATTAGGAAGATATTAACGGTACTGTGAATCTCTTTCTAATACTGAAAAAACTTTCAATCAATAAATCTTCTACCTCTAACCGGAAAATCAGTTGATGAGTTTCAACATCCACAATTGACACGAAGTTTTGAAGAGCTGCAGCAAGATATTTTCCATCTGGTGGCTGGAACCGGACCTGCTGGCACCGTTCTCCCCCCTGCTTGGAAAGTCTAAAGATTCGAAAACAGAGATCAAAGGCTGAGAATGGTAAGAGAAAGTTGTGAAGCTTGCCTCCAAAGTATCAAGAGAAGAAAATGTATCGATGTTCCAGTAGCGGATTACACCGCTGCTATCAGAAGAGCAAAACATCTCGGTTTTCTTAGGGTGAAAGTCAAGGGACATCACAGGAGCTGTATGATCATCCATTGTTCCTAGGCAGTAGTAACCAGGCTGCACAGATTCATTGCAATTAGTCTCAACAGACTACCGAAAGGGAGAGAAGATACAGGGCACAGATATTTTACCTTAGAAGCATCCCAGAAATTTACAGTTTTGTCGAATGATGATGTTGCAAATAGAGTCGAATTATATCTGAAGCGAACATCAGTGATGATATCAGCATGTACGTCAGGAGTGGTCTCAGCGTGTCATGTTTCCATGTTCCAGATGAACACCTAGCGACCATAAGAAATCAACATCCAACATCCAATCAACACCCAGCGAGTTTATAAACAAATGAAAGAAAAATCAATGTTCCTTTTTCAGGGATTAACATAAGATGATGTACCTCCCTATCATGTCCAGCACTCGCCAAGAATTTCCCATCCGATGAGAAATGACAACAAGTGACCTTACCAAGTTTTGGTACGGAACAAACCTCTCTGAAATCGAGGCCTTAGATAACAAAAAGGACCGTTATTACTAAATGTAATTTACTATAAGTGTGGCAGCATGCTCAGAAGTGTTCTATCCTAAAGTGTCAAGTATCTTACCTCCACCATCTTGAACTGTAGTAAATTCCACATCTCCAAACTGTTCCATGTCGACCAAAAAAACCAACAATTACCCTCTAACCAAAACAAAACCATGATGTGTATTCAGACCGGCATGGTTCCTTGCTAGGCAGCCGTTGAAGTAGGTGTGTCAGTGGTCATAGAGAAAACCTTGGGATACATCGGATGCAAGTCCTTGAGAAGGACGAACCCTGATGAAGCTAGCTTCATCGGTACGTATCTGCTGCTCTCTATCATCTTTATGTATTTCTCCTGTCCAGGGAGTACCCGCGAGGGGTTAGCTAGAATCTCAAACATTGCTTCTGACATAGCCGTCTTCTCCATTGTTGCTGTGCTGTCGACCTGAAAGTACATAGATAATCTATCATAACATATACTGTCTAATTATGATCAAGACTCAAGACAGATACGATTCATATCATAAGACTCAGAGAAGATGCAGGTTGGTGATCTTGTATTGACATTTAGACGATGTCAATAATTTGATTGCGTATACCTGCACAGTGTCTGTTTCCTTCTCAATTGATGCCTTGCCTTTTCCAGCTCCACTTTCATTGCAAGACTTTTCGGCACTGGCTGCTTTTTCAGCAATAATTTTCTGCTCTGTTTCGTTCTTGTTCTTATCCCTAGATTTAATGGCCTTTGCTGAGGTTGAGAGCAGAGCAGTTGGTAATTTGGCAGCAGTGTAGGCAGTAACAACCGTAGCTTGTTTTGGATACTCAAACAAAGATGGTTTTGCATGCGACATGAATTCAAACTTTGGGAATTTGAGATCGTAGTTCAAACCGATGAACGCGGTTGGTGAGAACGCCAAGCTTATGAAATATATCAGCGGGTACCAATACCAAAACTGGCTGAAGACTGCAAGGCCAATGACTGCAGTGACTTTGTCATGTTTTGTCTTAGAGAGAAGTCGTATTGTCACATTACTTCCACCAGCATCAAGAATACCTGACGCCAAATATGCTCCCATATTATTGCTCATATCATCTGCAAGCCCGTCGTGTAAAATCTTCCCAAGTTGGCGCCTGCAAAATAAGAGGTCAAAGTTTAGTCTACAGAAAGGTTACTCTCAAAAAATACAGAAGGTTAAACTTTGGTGTAACAGAGATATTATGCTGCGAAGTTTTCAGAAGTAGACTGTTATCTGCATGTTATTGCTGAATAGATCTGAGCTCATTAACCTAAATGCTCCAACGCGAGAATCGCTTGCTTCACTAATTTGGACCATCACCATCGCCATGGCAATCAGAGCACCTTGACGAACAAAGTCAACCACATCTGATGTAAGTGGCTCCAACAAAGATATCGCCTCACTAAGGCCAGTGCCTGCACAAGAGATACCTACTGCAAGAGCCGAGCCATAGCGGACATGCGGATTGTACGACTGGGAAATCAGGGATACAATACAGGGAACCTACAGTTAAAATATTCAGGCAACCCGTTATGCGTGAATGTGAGAACTGGAATAGAGAGTCGACATGTAATTGAGACATAGAGAATATGGAGGGACCTGCTCAGATGGGACCGGCTCAGGTGGGAGGGTGGGCGGTGCGACGGCCAGGGGTCCAATCCCGTGTTCTAATAATTAAGGGGCCCATTTTTAAAAATATTTTTATAAAAGTATTAAAAAATTAGATTACAACATAAAAATAAAATTTAGAAGGGTCCATAAATTTTTTTATTTATTATTTTTAGTATTAGTAATTAATTTTTTTAATAAAAATAGTATACAAAATTTGTTTTTAGCAAAAAAACATTAAAAAAAAAAATTTAAGGGTCCAAATTTTTTTTTTGCCCTAGAGCCCATGAAATTGTTGAGCCGGCCCTGTCAGAGTATAAGACAAATCCAAGTGCAAGAACAGCAGTCCTCCTGACATCGTCACTGACATCAGAGACAGCAAAGTGCAGAAGTTGGCGGATGGCTTTGCCGTTTGCGGTTCCTCTGTAAGCCAATGCCAGTGTGTACATTCTACCATAACGAATTATAGGATCCTGATCTCTAGTCATCTGCTCAATTAAAGTATCAGCTCCCTCTTCTCTACCATATACTGTGAGAGCTATTCCTAGAACCAATCCCCTGAAAACACATACCAATATTAATTTTTGAAACACTTTAAAAAGCTTAGCATGCAGCCACTCACATAACCAAAAATATCCCTAGAATACTAAATTACCTTATTATTTTCTCATGCTGAGTCTTGTGAGCATAAGCAAGCATCTCATTTGCCTTATCGGTTGCAGTTCCAACAAATAATAGACCCAAGCTGATGCCTGCAGCTTCACCAGCAACTGCACTGTCAGTGTAGAGCACGTTTTTGATATCATCATATATGCATTCATCAGCTGTCCCAAGAGATGCCAAACCAAGACCTAAACAAGCTCCATGTTGAATAACCTGCATCAATATATTCTCAGATAAGAATTAAACTCTAAGCAAAATACTATCTTTTCTGGTGATATAACAAAAGACCATCTTGAACTGAGATATAGACAAGTCACCTCAACACTAGTACTGCGTAGGTTATCACGAAGAAATTGCCTAATTCCCTCGCCATGGTTGGCATGAATAATGCCAAGGGCATATAAAGCACCACCTTGAGAATAAGAACTCCCGCCACCAGTTGCTCCGCCTTGAGGCAAATATGGGGCCATCAATGACCTACTTTGTTGTAGATGACCTCTATGAATAACACCTAATCCCGCTATAGCACTAAACTTAGCCCAAGTGGTGGCCCTACTTAGCCAAACCTACCAGTCCACAAATGAATGGAAAAGAAAGAAGATTATATACTATGTCGCACCGTCAACGTTGAAACAAGTAAGAATGTGATAGGGGAAGTAATAATTTTTACCGAATTTTCCTCATAAAATTCGTCCCTCGCTGTTCTAGCATGCTTTATCGCATTCGCATATATTATAGCACCGTGCAATTCACTGTACCACGATTCATCAGACTGTTCATTTGTCTCCAGGATCAAATAGCCTGATCTACAGAATTAAATGGCCATCGCTGAAGCATGTTACTCTCTGGAAGAAATGACTTAAGAAAATGAATATCCTATCAAGATATCAAAATCTAAAAGGGAAATTCACTGCCTCACATATCATTTGTGTAAAGAAACTGGAGGGTCAGCTGTATTGATGTCTCTCCAGATAAAATTCCCTTAACCTTTGTTAACCTCTCAGTGTACACAGCATCCGCATGATCTGTTTCATCTGTCAACTGGACATCCCCGGCAGTGTTCTCCCTCTGAGCGGTAGAGGTTTCAGCAGCTTGAACAGCTACTACAGGAAGGGTCTTGGGCATTGGAAGGCTGTCTCTAACACTCATGAGAAATGCCTGCTGCTCATTCTCTACAAGATCGAAAGCAATTTGCAACGCCAGTAAAGCATCATCTTTGTCCTCCGAACGAATAAGTTTCTCCAATATGCTTGCAACACCTTGCGGTTCATCCAAGAACATAAGGCACTGGCAAATGCTCAAATAATCAGGACAAGTCAGCTTCTGGTAGACATTAACAAGTAACCGAAGAACCTGCAAGAATCAAGATTAAATAATCACCTAGAAAGAATTTCAGGTCTATAACACGACAAGTTATACTTTGAGATACGGCTATATAGATAAAGGATACAACAAATTAAAAATGCTTGAGAAGATACTATATGGGGACTACATGACCATAATATTTGCTAGGCGAGATAAAATAACATTAATTCTAATCAACCAATAGTATCAGGAACATATTACATCTATTGAAATCCAGATCTGTAGCCACCAGACTCACCTCAAATCTATATTCTATACGGTTAATAAAAGAGTGAGAAACATTGATGCAATAAGATAAACTTTTCTGAACATCTTTGCTCTTCGTTATAGCTTCTTCCAACTTATCCAATCTCCGGCATTCTATAGCAATGCCCATGGCTTGCTGATACTTTCCATCACTGATACATATGTCAAACAGATAACCCTGTAAGGATTGAACAACTAAGAAGACAGGGGAAAAAAAATCGGGCATACTTTTCAAACAATTTTTCAACAATAGCCTCCAGTCTGTGGTCAATGTCCACCATCTCATTTAACTCGACTGCCTTTGATCTGAGACTAGCATACTCATCTATTGCTTTGGCTGAAAAGATAATAGAAGCATCTGATCAGTAAACTATTTCTCTGCATAATTTCTTCTTGGTCCTAGTTATTTGCTTATTCTTGCACTGAATTAGGTTGGTATGGTCTTGACTTATACGCATACTACAGTGGCAGCTTAAAGTCTACTGTCACAGATTTGGGGGGAAAAGGAACAGGCTTCACAATCCTCCTTACCTAGAAGAGTATGATAATAATCCGATTCATCCGGCACAGCCAAAAAAGATCCAGCTCCAAGTGCAGAGGACAGTGAATCGTTAATCTCACCCAAGTAATAGAAAACCTAAGACAAGAAAACAATCATCATAACTAAACAAATATCACAATATCATCACATAACTTGATTAGAAGAACGCCAGTCCTTAACTTCTACAAGCTATTAAGCTATTGAGCTCCACTAACAATGAAGTTAAGCAAAAGCTAAAATTGTACCTTAGAGATCAGCAATGCAGCAAGCTGTCTAAAACGCTGATCGAACTTTTCATCTTCATATAAGCACTCTCTACAGCAAATATAAAATGTCATTCATCAATGTAATTAAGATCTCAAATTCAGTATCAAAAAAGGACAGTCGTAAGCATAATTACCATATTCAGATCACTTAGAATCTACACAAGAAACTCTCTAAAAATAGCCATTTCTAACCTAAACTCTACTTTCTTATTCTCAACCATCAAATCTGCATCGACGCAACTCTCCATGACTAAACTTTATACCCTAAATCAAGAACAATCACTCAAAATTTCCAAAATCCAACAAGATTCTTCCGGGAATTCGCAGGAGGAGAAACAAGAAAGCGCCATAGAAGGAGAGAAAATACAAGATTGGGAGACTAGCGGAGATCTCTGGCCAAAATTGATGAACAAATCTGTTGAGATTTATGAGCGCTTGAAGTTTCAGTGAAGGATGTGTTTCGTTGAGCATTGCGAGTACACTACTCGCCGAACTAATCATCGCCGTTTCCATTTCTATCGAAGAACCCAAATCGAATCGGAATTTCAAAACCCTAATCGGAACCAATCGTCGACGAATCTCGCTCGTCTCTATCTATCGGATTTGAGAAAATAGTTTCAGTTTTTAGAAGTTGAAAGAGAGGGAAATACGAATGTCTAAGTAATAAAGAAAATGCCCCTACTAAATTCCAATTTTATACTTTCTCCTCTAACTTTCTGTATATTGCGCATTGCGTCCCTCTGTTTTCAGTTTTTACAAGACGGAGCTGAATATACGTGTACGTAGATGTAGGTGATTTACTAGGAATTGATTCGTCTGAAAATTCATCAACTGTTGTATGTTCTGGTTTCAATGACAAAGATGCTTATGGAGATTGGTGTTGAATGTAACAAACATATCTATAACAGGTAAAACGAAGAATGATAGGCTAAACACTTATGTTACATTTTGAATCCTTACTACTTCATCAGTTCCTCAACTGCTTTGTGTAAAGCACTACTATGATTTGAAGAACCTCCTCGACGTTTAAACAGCGAGTGAGGTCCGTTCCATACGGAATTGTGGTTGTTTTCATTAGGGAAGAGAGTTTCACAGAGACTTAGAAGCTGCGGGTTTCTGACTTGGAACTTTTCTTGCATCTTTATTCTCCATTCTTTACGCTCTAACTCCTGCCGTTTCTACAATAACGAAATAACACAATTTACCGCAATCATGCTTCTGACAATATTTCTCTGATGTATATAGCAAAAGAGAGGAAAAAAAAGAAGTAAATACCTTTTGCTCTTGGAGTTGTTTTTCCTTCTCTTCTTCCTCATTCTGAGTCGATTTTGGACCTTCAAGGGAAGCTAAAACAACCGATTTCTCTGCAGCACTAGTCACAGGTTCATCGCCAGTCTCTTCCATTGATCTATCAATCGATTGAGTCTTGTCCTCTACATTAGCTTCGGTTTTATTTTCACTCTCCACTTCAACGTTTTCCTCTTCCTCCACCTCTTGTTTATTTTCAGTCACTCTTTGTGTTTTTGATACCGGACTATCTAGTTCCACGATTTCTGTTTTTTCTTGTTCAGTTTTGTCAACATCAATATCCATGTCCTGCTCCTCACCCATGTTTATTGATGAATTATCCACAGAAGGACTTCCCGCAGGTGAGGATTCCTTCAAGAAAGAGATACTAAAGTTAATAATACGTGTTACAAAGTTTACACAATCCTGGGTTGTGTGTGGGTTCTCTTTGCACATAAACACGAGCACACCGCAAGATAGACGTGTGTGTCATGTAAACAAAACAAATTACTAACCTCTTGTGCTCCAGAGTCTCGCTCACGTTCTCTTTTACGTCGCTTCAGAACACATACCGCACACATGCAATCACTCTTGTGGTGCCTTCTGCAAACGAAAATGATGACTATCAAATAAATACTGATCCCATTCCCAAGTTTTGGAGGGCAAAGGAAGGGCACAAGCTCCATAGTAACTATGAATAAAAAAAACCAAATGCAAGATGCATGAACTAGGCTACCGAATACATCTTGGCGAAGAGAAAACTAAATTAAGCTACAAAATATCTGCTTTTATAACCATTGACTAAGATTGGCTACGGTTAAAGCAGATCTTGTTACAGTAGCTTTGTCAACGACAACCTCTTGGCTGTTTTAACCAAGAAAAGTTTCAGCGACATACCCATGGCGTTTATGACTCTTCTGCTTTGATTGACTACCTTTGGTGGATGCCTTCCCACCATCCTCTGTATTTTCTGCTTATAACCAAAGAATCCAAACAAGCTAAATCGTAAGCACAATTACTCAGGCCAAAATGCATAGCGAACATATACAATGCAAGTAGTGTACTGTTAACATTTTCTGTATATTGACATTTCTCTTGATAATTTCTTTTCGCATGGAATTCGTTCATTACGAGAATTACAGTGACATAATGCAAACTAAACGTAGCCCAGTAAGTGTAGCCAAATGCTTACACAAAACTGTATTCAGGATTAAATTATCTATCTAACAGCTCTGGATGGATATATCAGAAAACTAGTTTTCTTATACGTTTATTACTAAAACGGGACTATATGCATTTCAACAAAGACATTTCATTAGATAACATCAGCAATGAGTCAATGACCATTGTCAGACGCACATAGTGCTTCAGAACCAGAGGTTTCTGAATATGTTCACAATATCTGGCATATATATATATGCCAAGGGGAACAAGAAATGTAAGTTTCTATGGAGAGAGCTGTAGCTACCGACTAAGCGATGCTTCACCACAAGAGTGTAAACATGGAACAGATAAAATGTTAACAATACCTGCTGATTGCTCAGTATACAACCCTGCTGCAGTCCAGTACTTCATGAAATTTTTCTTCACTCGCTTCATCAGATCGACAATATAATCACCTTTCTTATTGTACTTGGAACAGTTATTCCATATGTAGTTGACATCCTTGTAAACATCCTCAGAATTCATATACTTGTTGCCTTTCTCATAATTATTGCATATTGTTCCAAAATCCATAGGTGTCTTGATGATATCAAAGTAGTCCTAACCACATAACCAGAAAACAGTTACAAGTGTCAGACATCAATTCTGAAACCCCTTTAGAAGCAAAGGCATAGAAGAGATGGGAAAAGTGTAGGAGAAAACATCCCATGACAGAGACAAGGAAGTCACATTAAATGTTATAACTCTTCATTATTCATCTTTGGATAGTGTCTAAGAATTAAATCATAAGAGCTATTAAAATTTTGCCGTAACCAAAAAGCCAAATTTACTCCCTAAGGAAAGAGACAATAATCTTTGTATAGTTACACACAAAAAAAAAAATAGCCTTCCCTTGTCTACATACGGAAAGAGAAAGATGAGACTGATGTGGTGAGCTAAATAATAGTGTAGTTCATGTACTAGAGCATTTCTAAGTCCTGTCAAGTGAGACCAAACTGATTTTCGTTTGTTCACAAGAAAAGTAATTAAGCTGCAAAACTATATGGAACAAAAACCATGTCAAGGATATCTACTGACTACAAAAAATGTATAGCTGAATAGTCACATGACATGAGACAGTTAAGATGTAACAGCACTCCCTAAAATGGTGCACTTATCCGACAAAGATGTAACTACGTCTGCACTTACAGGAATTCCAAGAGCTTCTGGGTTCACAGGAACATTAAAAGGATCAGCAGCATCCATCTTCATAATCTTCTTGATCACCTAGAGTAATATGACACCAACAGTAACACACAGAAGTTGCGTTAGACATGATATTCAACTAGAACTTTTTGTACCTTTCAAAAAAAGCAATAAATAAAGTAGATTAATCCGAGCATACTGTAAGAGAATCTTCCAGTTCTTGCTTATTGTATCGTGAATTTTGATCAGTCTTCTTCTCCTCTTTCTGCAAAGAAATTGGTATACTTTCTGGCTCTTTCTTACTGGCTTGAGAATTCTCATCAGGCGTTTTCGTATCCTTTTGAAGTACTACTACTGCATCCTGAACCTTGACAGTATCAGCACTCTTCTCAGTAACCGAGCTAGACCCATCAACCGCCTTTGAAGTCTTAATCTTTATACCTTTAGTTTTCCTGTAAACATTCAAAAACACCGGCTTCCTCTCAGGCAAACGAGGAGGAACCAATTCCTCCTTTTTCTCAGCAGGCACAACAGGTTTTTCAGACACCGCTTTATCGATATCATTACCCAAGGTCTCATCAGGTTCTGGTGCTTTTGAAGTCTTCAATTTAACCTTAACTCGCGCAACTGACTTCGCCGCTATACTATCAGCTATATCTACACTAGCAACAGGTGAATTACCAGTCCCAGTAGACAAAGGAGCATCAACCTCCATTTTAGATTCATCATTCTCACACTCCACAGGAGCTTCAGAACTTTGCTCAGAGGTTTGATTCTCCGCGTTTTCGGTAGACTCATTCAAGTTCCCTTCTTCATTGATAGTCTTAGACTTTTTAGACTTCTTCCCTTTCTTATGTCCGCTTTTACGCTTCATACTCTTCGACGACGATACTATAACCTCGTAACGTATATCACACACAGAACCTATAAGAGAACAACCAAAACGCTAAAGAATCTTAAATCTGAATCAATCACCCCACAAAACCAAATCATATGATAAAAATCAATCAAAATTGTTTCAGGAAATCAAAATTTCTCGATAAAATTGTAGATCACGAAATTCACAATCTATAGAGTCGAGATTAAAAAGATTCAAAGCAAGCTTGAATTCAGAAACAAGAGCAGAGAGAATTTTACCAGAAAAGGAAACCGTAAATCAAACAAAGCTACGTCGTCGTCAAAGATTCGTGGAGAGGAAGAAGATAGAGAGAGGGAGATTCAAAAAATTGGAGAGAAAAGTTTGGAGGGAAAGTGGAATTTACCAAACGAACTTTTAAGTAGACCGGCGCTTCTACTGGCTCACAAATTCTTCAAACGTCGCTTATTAGTTTTAGACCCGAGATGGAGCCGACGAGATTTAAGACTTTAGATCTGGATATTTACTTGTTACGTCGTCGTTTTACATCTTGGGCTTATAATGGGCCACTTGAGAGTAGGTTAATAGGTTTGTTTTTTTTTTTGTTTCTCGAGAGTTTCTATTTCAATGGTTGGTAGAGTAACTTCTGGTCTATTTCTTGGGTTAAGTGTCTCTTCTTATTAACTAGATGTAAGCGTGGCTCGTTCTATATTTTTATTGTTTAACATGTAAAATTATTATACATATATTAATATTTTCATATATGGTGGAGAAAAATAAAAAAATTGTTTATTTATAATACAATGATGAATGGTGGAAGTTACATTTATAAAAAATAAATGCATTTAAAGAGTTATAATATTTATAGAACTAGTAAGAAAACTATTCAAATTATAATTATGGTCAATGTGAATTTAATCAAATAGTAAATGTATTTTAGTGGGGTTGAGTGATGTCTTATATTTATTTAGTATAAGTTATTAACATTGATTTTAAATTTAGTAAGAGCCACACGAATTTAAATGTAGTTAATTATAGATAAATATTATAGTATAGTATGGTTAGAAAATATTAAGAAGAAGAGATTGAAAGTGAGAAAATAATATATTTTGTAGATATACAAAAAAATTCTTACACTTTAATATATCCAAATTATATAATATTTATATATATATAATTTTATTAAACATGAGTATGCATATCTTTTAAATTTATTTAATTATTTTTGTTTTTGTCAACAATTTATTTAGTTATTTATTCTTCCACTTTTATAAATTTTCTTTCATATATTTTTGCATTGTAAAAGAGAAACAGAAAAGAAACAAAAAAACTATTATATTAATGATCATAAAATTTTACATTATTTTGGATCAAACCCAAGGATACTCCCATTTAAAAAAATCTTTTTTATATTTCACTCAATTTAAATTATAATGTTAGGTTTCATTATAATGATTTCATTTTTGTAGCATTTACATTGATAGGTGTGATTATCAAATTATTTTAATTAACTTGATTTGTTTTAGAAAAAAAAACTTAAAACCACGGAGCTTGAATAAAATAAGCATAATATGATCTTTGTATAATTATCTATTGGATAAAAAAATTAAATGTAATGATGAGTATACTAAAATTTTACCAAAATATATTTGAGATAAGAAAGAAGTAATTGTCGAAGAAAAAAAAACTTTAAACCACAAATCTTGAAAAAGTAAAAATTATAATGATCATTATATATATATATATATATATATATATATATATATACTTGATCACAAAAACTAAATGTAATGATGAGTACATCAAAATGCTGCCAAAAATTATTTGAGATAAGAAAAAAGTAATTTAAGAAGTAAAGAAATTAAAAAACATAAAAATTGAATAAAATAAATATTATAATGATATTTTCTATAATTTTCTATTAGATTAACAAAAACTAAACATAATGATGATGAGTATATTAAAAATATTACAAAACAATTATTGAGATAAAAAAACAAAAAAAAGTAGGTACAATTTCTTTGATAAATGTATTACAATAATTTATTTTAGTTTAAAGATACATGAATATGTAAGAAAATAACTAAATGTCTAACATGATATTGGAGATGGATTTTTTCAACTTGATCTCCTTGTTGTGCTATTGATTGAATTGCTCTTTTGAATCTCCATCGACAAATATGAATTTTTTTGTTATAGCCATCAAAAAAATTATTATACATAAAAATTTTAAATTAAAAATAGAAAAATTAAAGAATATTCTAGTAACGCATTAAAATTAAAATAAAATTGGAAAAAATATAAAATACATACCATATCTAGACATAAAATTTAGAAGCATACTCTTATAATGATGTCTCAATTGATTTTCAACCAATGCAACAACGTAAGAAAGAAAGAAAGAAGAAAAATATTTATGATTTGTGATATGGTAGATGAAGATGAGAGAATGATTATTTACAGGATGAGAGATGATGGAAGTTAAATTTAGAAAATAATTAAATTAGGGGGTTACAATTACAATTAATAGTGTTTTTGAATGACATTGAGTGGAAAAAAAATATTTAATACATAATTTAAATAATTTCAGTTACAATTTAGTATTTAAAAGTAGATTAATGTATATGATTAAATACGTTGTATTGATAATTTAATTGGAGGTAAATATTATTATTTTTAAGTTTACTTTTAAAATGATAGCCAAGTAAACCAATAAGGAGAGAGTAAAACCTTACTTTTATATATATCATTTAGGGGATGTTAATGATTTGTAATTTAAATAGAGTTTTAGTGACTTAAAATGTTATGTAGAATTTGTTGTTATTCATAAATCTGGAGTTATTGGATTCATATTTGTAAAAAGTCAATCAAAGTTGTGTGTTATTCAATTTAAAAAAAATTATGATTGTTAATAAATTAAATTATTATGTTATTGGGTTATGATTTCTACACTTTTTCACAAAATAAAGTCATAAAAAGTAGAATGATTGTTTGGGAAATTTTACAAGATTATGAAAAATCTAATCAACAAGATTATAGAAAACTCTCTAGCAATAGTTTAGAATCTTTCATTTATTTACTTTCTACGATTTTATTAAAGTCATCAAAATTCTTTGCAAAATAGGAACTAATAACACCCCCTTATTATGTTACAAAAATCTTTCTAAATATTTTTTATGAATCTTTTTTTTATGGTTTTTTTTTTTGCATCTGCTTATTCTCTTACAAAAAAATCCTCATGGCGAAAGTGAAAAAGTGAATTTGACGATGCTTACTTTCGATAAGCCTTACTCGCGTATTCACTTTATTTTGTAAAGAAAAGTGTAGAAAGTCATAAACCAATAACATAATAATTTAATTCATTAACTATTATAGATTCTTTTGTTTAAATTGAATAACACAAAACTTTTATTGACTTTACAAAAGTATGAATACAATAAGTCTAGACGATTTTAGATTACTTTTTACAAATCTTAAATTAATAACACCAAACTATAACAAACTTATAAAAAATCTTGATTGAATAACAACAGATTCTCCATAACATTTTAAGTCAATAAAACTCTATTTAAATCACAAACCAATAACACCCCCTTAGGATTGTTCACAAAACCACGACAAAAACACCTAAACCGAAACAGAACAAACAATTTATTTATAAACTAGTTAAGTTTATTTTGAAATCCGTATAACCAAATTAGAAACGAAACCATTTTTGTGAAACAAAAGCTAAACCAAAATTCATTAAAACTCTATACATTTACTAAAGTAGATATAAATCGTATTATTTATTTTAATAAAATTCTTTTATATATCAAAGTACTCATTGATTCTTGAAAAGTGTCAAGAGTTTTTTTCTTTTGCTTGTTTTATTTTTTCTTTCTGAGTGTTTGAGTCTTTGACTAGGAATTGATGATGATATATATTATTTACAAAACCCGTGGACAAATCTTTTGCTCACAATAAGATTATGCCACTCTTGTTTCATCCAGATAAAGATAATACAGATTGTGGTACATATATAACAAAAGAGATGCTGCATTCTCAGACTATGCCAAAGAACCTTCATGTTCGCGATATATCTCCTCCGCATGAGCTGTAGTTACGTAAACTGCATCGGCAAGCGAGCTGTTTTTTCGGCCATAGAAAACATACACAATCACTCCAATCAGCAGCCACACCGATACACGAGCCCATGTTGCAGATCTGTCATTTTAGCCAGTCAGAAAGAGTAGAGGAAACAGTTGAGAGAAAAAAACACCAACTATCACCAAAGGACACAGATACACATAAACTTTTGCTCTCTTCTCCTATCTACACCAACAAATTTGTTCATCCTAAAACTATACAAGCTTTAAGAACTCGACCTTTAAACCTAAATGGTTAAGGTTAAAACAGTGTCTTGAATTTAGATTCCATCATAAATATAGCTGTAGAAACAAGCGAAAATAAACGGTAAATGAAAGTCGCGAGTGAGTGAAAGAGATACTAACCCAAGGTTAACCAAAAGGTACATGTTGATGAGAATGCAAATGATAGGTAGGAGGGGAACAAACGGGCACATGTAACCTATTCAAAAGGAATTTCAACAAAGTATTATAACACACAACATTAGACATATAAGGGCTTTATTGTACGGTAACAATTTACATAGCATTACCTCCAGAATGTCCAAAAGTGTGTCTCGCATCATCCTGATCTATGGAACTCAGAGCAATCAAACCAACAAGGAGGAGACATCCACCAACACCACACAGCGGATATCGAATAAGCCTGTTAACCATTTTATAAAGTATTTAGATGATAAGCAATAAAAGTTTTGAGAAAAAAGCAATGCTTAAAATAGAAAATGATGAACTAACCCTGGGAAGTTCAGGCTTGATGCCGAATAACTTAAAAGGAAGGCCCCAACACATGTGAACATAATGCTCCATCCAGCGACAATCCTTCTGTTTTCTTCGCTGAGAACCACTGCAAAATTATTGACAAATGTGAAGTTTGTGCTAAAACATTTAGTTTCTCCATAAAAAGAGCTGAGCTTCTTGATGTAACTTACAACATCCTAGAGCTTCTTGATTCTTGATAAGCGCGACATCGACCAAAGCATCATTATTATCAATCAAAGGCTGGTGACTGCTATCGGAAGTGCCAACATGACCGGATGACGTTGTTTCACCACCTATGAAG